TGTGCCCTGACCAGGAATCGAACCCCGATGGCCTGGATCCCAGGTCGAGGCTCAGCCGCCGAGCAGACACTCTGAGGTGTGGTTCCCAGCTCCAGTGCTTACTTCCTTTGTTTCCTTGAGAAATTTATGTAACCTTCCCAATTGTAAGCAAAATGGCATGAAAAATAGTACTGCCTTACCAGGTTATTATGAAGATTATATGAAATAAAATATGTAAAGTGCTTTGCAAAGTTCCTGGCACACTGTGATCGCATACGCAACTGAGGGCAGCTATGACTATACCTCGCATTGTTCATGCACATCTCATGTCTCCGGACTTACACATCCTACGACAAAGCAAAAGCGCACAGCGCACATTAGCGGCCTCGCATATATCAGTTGCTGATAAAGACTGGTTGAATGAACGATTTTAAATATAAACGGAAGGTATTGTGGTGGTTATAAATGATGGCATAAATTATTATAATGGCTATAGTACAAAATGCACTGCTAATGAGCAATACATTATTTAAACAAGTGTCTCTCCTATTTACCTTCATTATTTAACAGTTAATTACTGCAGTAGAGAAACACTCCTGGAGCTGATTAGTAATGACAATTAGATGTCCGACGCTGCATTTGTGAAGGTTCCAGGGGCGTCTCCCTTTAAAACCAAAACCAACAAAAATTTCACCCCAGAAACAAAACGAAAAACACCACTTTTCTCATGAAGACATGAAGCCTCTCAAATTTTAACTGAAACCTTTGTTCAGCAGCAGAGAAACTGGGGAGGCAACAGCTGCCCCCCGCAGCTTCCGTACAAGATGGCGCCGCCCACTTGTGCACCGCAGCTGGGATTACGTCCTCCTAGCCCTTCGCAGGACCGGAAGTGGTTGCAGCCCTAGTGGATCCGGGTGGGTGCGCGCAGGTGGCGGCGGAGGTTCCAGTGCTTCAGCGTGGGGCGCCGCAGGTGTTCGGGTGGGATCCGGGCCACAGGTAAGTGAGGATCAGAGGCCGGCGAGGCCTTTCACCCCGCTCTTGCGAGGGACGCACGGGGTTTCCACTGCGGATGGAGGAGAGGGGTCGTGGAGCTGGTGATGTCACCGTGTGCGGGGGCGACTAATTGCGGGGACCCTGCGGTCCCAGAGCGACGTGGCCCTGCCCCTCTCTCCGCCCCCGCCCGGCTTCCTCGCCCCGAGTGCGCGGCCCCCCACGCCTCCCAGGGCGGCGCCCTCGCACCCCTTTCTCTCTTTAGCAGCACCTACCAAACCTTCATGGCTTCCTGACCCGGTAAAAAGGAAGCCCCAGCCGCAGCCCCAGCAACTCCCTGGGCGCCGCGTGCTCTGCGCGTCCAGTGCCGGTTCCCTCGCCGCGATTCGCGGGGCTCACCCCCGCCCCCCTTTGTCACCACCCCTTTCCTCGCGGCCACACCCGCTGCTTCTGGCCTGGCTGGCCAGTCACCTCTTTCTTTTTTCGCATCCCTGGGATAGATCAAAGCTAGAACGTCAATGATTCTTTAGTACAAAACTGATACCTGCTCATTAAAGTATAAACAAGCGCAAACCTTTATAAACAAACTTCTGCGGGACGCAAACGAACTCTCTTAGATACCCACGCTTTCCTTAAACACCGAATTAATGATGTCATATGTTTTAGTTGTATTACAAGGATGGAAGGAACTACTGGAAGGTTTTGTTAATTATCAGAATTAGGAAGTGGGGGAGAAAGGTTTAATATGGGGGTGGAACGATTAATTTGGCCACATTGAGCTTGTTTTAATAATGCATTTATTCTTCTATATTTATTTTAGTTGTAGTCCATGCATATGATCTTGTAAAACATTGATGAAAATTTTTACACAGACTAGATCCCCTTTGACCTGTGTCTTTCCATTTCCATTTTTCCTTCTTTAATCTCTTGCCCCAAAGTAAGAACTGTTATCCGTTTGGGGGGTGTTTTTCTATTTTTCTTTATATTTATTGACAGGGGTTTATACATATGAGATATATTCATGTATCGTACCTACTCAGCTTGACTTTTTGTGCTTAAAAATGGGTCTTAGAGCTTTGCCAACATGTAGAGGTCTGTGGAGATCTACTTTGTTCTTTCTGCTTGCTCTGTAAATTCCGTAGTATGTCAAGATCCCCTAGTATGTGCGATTCCGTAGATTGCTTACAGTTTTTCACTGTTAGACACAGTGTGGCATAGAAAATCCTCCACGTGCCTGTGTATGCATGTGAGCATGTCTCAGGTAGTTACTAGTGAGATTATGTTGTGTGTTTTTTAAAGATATTTTACTGATTTTTAGAGAGGGAGGAAGGGAGAGAGAACAATTGATGTGAGAGGGAAGCATCGATCGGCTGCTTCCTGCATACCCCCTACCAGGGATGGGTCCTGAAATCTGGGCACGTGGCCTGACCCGGAATTGAACCGGCAACCTTTCGGTGCACAGGACAACGCCCGACCAACTGGGCCACACCAGCCAGGGTGTGAGATGATGTTTTCACGAGTGTTGACTAGTTGTATTTCCTCTTTTGAGAAATGTCTCATTTATATTGGGTTGTCTTTTTATATGTATATAGTAGTGTTTTTTCTATTCTGGATAATAATCTTTTGTCATTTATATATGTTTTAAATATTCATTCCCAACTTAGTGCTTTTTAAAGTTGTTGCTTGTCTTTAGCCATGTGGCATTTTTGTTGAACCAAAGTTTAAAATTTTATGTTTAAATATATCAATTTTTTATGTGTGTATTTTGTATTTTCTGCCTATCATTCCCTATCCTAATGGTTCTCAAATGGAAGATATTTTGCCTTTTAGGGGCCATTTGGCAATGTCAGGAGACATTTTTTGGTTCTCCTTTGGTGTGGTAGTGCTAAACATCCAGTGGTGCTAAACATCTGTTCATCCAGTGAGTAGAGTCCAGAGATGGTGCTAAACATACTACAATGCACAGGAAATCCCTCTACAACAAAGAATTTTTCTGCCCTAAAATGTCAATAGGGCAGTTGAAGTTGAAAAACCCTGCTTTACCCTGAGACAGAGCAGGGGTTTCTCTTATATTTCTTCCTGTAAGTTCTTATATGGTTATGCTTTTCTTCAGTCTGTGTGTGTGTGTGTGTGTGTGTGTGTGTGTGTATTTATGGTGTGCGCGCAATTATTTTTTTCTGAACAGTGTCTCTCCAAATAGTCCACCCATTCTTTCTTTTAAATTTTTGTTTATTGATTTGAGAGAGAGAAACATTGATTTGTTGTTCCATTTATTTATGCACTCATTGGTTGCTTCTTATATGTGCCCTGACTGAGGATCAAACCCCACAACCTTGGCATATCGGGACAATGCTTTAACAAACTAATCTACCCAGCCAGGGCTTCAGTCCATTCTTGACCCATTAATCTCAAATGTCACATTTACCATATACACACAGTCTGTTTCTGGACTCTCTCCTGTTCTATGGCCCAATTTCCTTCCTCCCCACCTACCTCCCTTTCTCGCTTTCTTTCTCTCTCTCTCCCTCTCTCTCTCTTTCTCTTTCTCAGACAATTTTTATAAGACTCTATTTGAGCCAAAACTGATGGGGGAAAAAACCCTACCACAAATAAAACTGATGCCATTTGCCAGGGAGCGAGATCTCAAATGCTTCGGAGGACAGTTTGGCAGTTTCTTTTATGCATTTGAGATTAAGGAGGGATGTAAGGAAGATTACGTGAAGGTAGGAGAAAGCAAGGCAGAGATTAGATTACCTTGTGCAAACTTTCGAAGGAGGGGTCTGAAAGGGTGGTTAGGTATTTGAAGGAAGGGTCTGAAAGGGGGCATTTCAAAGGTGTGTTAACCTAGGTGCACAGAAACAATGGACAGGGCTTACTTAAGGCAAAGATAAGCCTTTTAGTAAAGAAGTTTTATGTTTACATCTCACAGGTATAGGGAAAGAAAGCTCTTCCTAGAAGGACTTTGGTTTCATAAAGCCAATATTTATAAGCCTTTTGAGATTAAAAGGAGAGATTTTGGGACCATAAGATGAATTGATAGGCTTCGAATTGTTTCTGGAGCCACACCTCTGGTCCTGTAAAGATTTCATTTAGGCCCGGCTGGGCATGGCTCAGTGGTTGAGCTTCGACCAAGGATCCAGGAGAGGTCGTGGTGTGATTACCGGTCAGGGCACATGCCCGGGTTTTGGGCTTGATCCCCAGCTGGGGGCCTGCAGGAGGCAGCTGATCAATGATGACTCTCTCATCATTAATGTTTCTAGCTCTCTCCCTCTCTCTGAAATTAATAAAGATATATTTTAAAAAAAGACTTCATTTGTAAAATAAGGACAACTGTTTTTAATACCTCAAGAATTGGGTTGTAAAGAAGTTATATGCTTATATGCATAACCCATGGACACAGACAATAATGGGGTGAAGGCAAGGTGGGAGCAAGGTGGAGGGGGGTCAATGAGGGGAAAAAATGGGACACCTTTAATATCAACAATAAAGATAAATTTAAAAAAAAATTAAATTAAAAAAGAAAAGAAAGAATTAGGTTGTCACCTAAATGGTGGCAAAGGAGTGATGACTCCATCCACCATTGTTAGAATGTTTCTTTCTCTCTGGGTACATTTCTTATCAGGCTCTGGCATTAGCTTTCAATGTGGCCACATTCCTTTTTTTTTTTTTTTTTTAATATATCTTTATTGATTTCAGAGAAAGGAAAAAAGAGAGAGAGAAACAGACAGAAACATCAATGATGAGAGAGTCATTGGGGCTTAAGCCTGCAACCCGGGCATGTGCCCTGACTGGGAATCGAACCCTGATTGCCTGGATCCCAGGCCGACACTCAAACGCTGAGCCACGCCCAGCTGGGTGTGGCCAAATTTCTGATTAAATTTATGAAATCCTTTCAAATATTTTGTCAGGTTTCAGCTGGGACAAACAGCAAATGTTCCTAGTGGTATTAAACAACCCCAAGAGAGGGTGCAGAGGTTACTACTTCCCAAGTCCCAGAGTCACTCCCAAAGATAGCCAAAAGCCATAGGTCTGGAGTTGGAGAGGATGAGACTGAAACTTTATTTCCCTCTCTAATTAGCCTCAGGATGTTATCCATTTAGAAAAACTTTTGAGAGGCCTCCCTGGGTTTAAGAAATCCTAATTAATGCTCTTAGGTCAGCTGTTGACCTAGGAGTAAAAATTACTCAAAAAAGAGCCCTGCCCTAGACGGTTTGGCTCAGTGGCTAGAGCATCATCCTGTGGACTAATGGGTCCCTGGTTTGATTCCGACCAAGGGCACATACCTTGGTTGCAGGCTCGATCCCTGGCCTTGGTCAGGCGAGCGAGGGAGGCAACCAATCCATGTGTCTCTCTCACATCTGTGTTTCTCTCTCTCGATCTCTCCCTTCCACTCTCTGAAAAGCAATGGAAAAAATGTCCTCAGGTGAGGAGGAAAGAGAGAGAGAGAGGGAGAGAGAGAGAGAAAAGTAAAGAAAGAAAGAGAAAGAACGAGTGAGCCCTGGTCAGTGTGGCTCAGTCTGTTGGGCCGTTTGATGCCAGGTCAGGGCACATGCCTGGGTTGCAAGCTCGATCTCTGGTTGGGGGCACACAGGAGGCAGTCCATCAGTGTTTCTATCTCTCTCCCTCTCCCTTCCTCTCTCTCTCAAAATCAATAAAAACATATTTAAAAAAAACAAAAAAGATTGACAAACCTTTAACCAGACTCATCAAGAACAAAAGAGAGAAGACCCAAATAAATAAAATTAGAAATGAAAGAGAAGAAACAACTCACACCAATGAAATGGAAAGGATTGTAAGAAAATATTATGAACAGGTAAGTATATGCCAACAAATTGGACAATCTGGATGAAATGGATAAATTCCTGGAAACATACAATCTTCTGAAACTGAATCAGGAAGAATCAGAGAATCTGAATAGACACATTACAACTGGTGAAATTGAAGTAGTAATAAAAAACTCCCAACAAATAAATGTCCTGGACCGGCTGGCTTCACCAGTGAATTTTACCAAACATTCAAAGAACTAACACCTGTCCTTCTCAAACTATTCCAGAAAATTCAAGAGGAAGGAAAACTCTCAAGCTAATTTTACGAGGCCAGCATTATCTTAATTCCAAACTAGATAAAGACACAACACAGAGAGAAAATTATAGGCCAATATCCCTGATGAACATAGATGCTAAAATCCTCAGCAAATAGGATCCAGCAATACATTAAAAAGATTATACACCATGATCAAGGGGGATTTATTCCAGGCATGCAAGGTTGGTACAATATCAACAAATCAATAAACGTGACACATCGCATAAACAAAACGAAGGATAAAAACCACATGATCATATCAACAGATGCAGAAAAAGCATTTGATAAAATCCGACACCCATTTGTGATAAACTCTCAGCAATGTGGGAATGCAGGGAACATACCTCAATGTTATAAAGGCCATATATGACAAACCCACAGCCAATATCATACTTAATGTGCAAAAACTAAAAGCATTTCCCTTAAGATCAGGAACAAGACAGGATGTCCGCTTTCGCCACTCTTAATCAATATAGTACTGGAAGTCCTAGCCACAGCAAACAGACAAGAAGAAGAAATAAAAGGCAGCCAAATTGGGAAGGAGGAAGTAAAAATATTATTCAGAGATGACATGATAGACTCCACCAAAAAGCTACTAGATCTAATAAATGAATTTGACTAAGTAGCAGAATACAAAATTAACATCCAGAAATCAGTGGCATTTTTATACACCAATAATGAACTATCAGAAAGAGAAACTAAGAAAACAATCCCATTTACTATTGTAACAATAACAAAAATAAGATACCTAGGAATAAATTTAACCGAGGAGGTAAAAGACCTATACTTGGGAACCTATAAGACATTGAGGAAAGAAACTGAGGAAAATACAAATAAATGGAAGCATATATCATGTTCATGGATTGGAAGAATTAATATTAAAATGTCCATACTACCCAAAGCAATCTATAGATTCAACACATTCCCTTTTAAAATACCAATGGCAGATTTCACAGATCTAGAACAAATATTCCAAAAATGTATATGGAACAAAAAAAGACCCTGCATATTCTCAGTAATCTTGAGAAAGAAGAACAACGTTGAAGGTATCACAAACCTGGTATTAAACTATATTACAGGCCATTGTAATCAAAATAGCCTGATACTGGCATAAGAACAGGCATATAGATCAGTGGAACAGAACAGAGAGCCCAGAAATCAACCCACACCTATATGGTCAATTAATATTTGGTAAAGGAGGCAAGAACATGCAATGGGGTAAAGACAGTTTCTAATAAATGATGTCAGGAAAATTGGACAGGTACATGCAAGAAAATGAATCTAGACCACCAACTTACACCATACACAAGAACAAACTCAAAATGGATAAAAGATAACTATGTCACAAAACCATAAAAATCCTAGAAGAAAACATAGGCAGTAAAATCTCAGACATCTCTCGTAGTTATATTTTTGTCGATATGTCTCCTTAGGACAAGGGAAATAAAGGAAAAATTAAACACATGGGACTACATCAAACTAAAAAGCTTCTGCACAGCAAAAGAAACTATCAACAGAATGAAAAGGAAACCCACTGTATAAGAGAATATATTTGCCAATGATACATTGGATAAGGGGTTAATCTCCAAAATATATAAAGAACTTACACAACTCAACACCAAGAAGACAAACAACCCAATTAAAAAAATGGGCAAAAGACCTGAATAGACACTTCTCCAAAGAGAACATACAGGTGGCCAGCAGACATATGGAAAAATGCTCAATGTCACTAATCATCAGAGCAATGCAAATTAAATCCACAATGAGGTATCACCTCACACCGGCCAGAATGGCTGCCATCAATAAACAAGTGCTGGTGAGGATGTGGAGAAAAGGGAACCCCACTGTGGAAAACAGTATGGAGCTTCCTCAAAAAATTAAAAATGGAGCCCTGGCTGGTATGTCTCAATTGGTTGGGCATTGTCCCATGCACCGAAAGGTTGCTGGTTCGATTCCCAGTCAGGGCACAAGCCTGGGTTGTGGGCTGGATCCNTGGAGCCCTGGCTGGTATGTCTCAATTGGTTGGGCATTGTCCCATGCACCAAAAGGTTGCTGGTTCGATTCCCAGTCAGGGCACAAGCCTGGGTCGTGGGCTGGATCTCTGGTAGGGGGCTGTGCAGGAGGCAGGCGATTGATGTACCATCACATCAGTGTTTCTTTCCCTGTCCCTTCCTCTCTCTCTAAATATCAATAAACTATTCTTTTTTAAAAAATTAAAAATGGAATTGCCTTCTGACCCAGCGACCCCATTTCTGGGACTATATCCTAAGAATCCTGAAACACCAATCAGAAAGAATATATGCCCCCCTATGTTCATAGCAACGTTATTTACAGTAGCCAAGATCTGGAAACAGCCCAAGTGCCCATCAGTAGAGGAGTGGATAAACAGCCATGGGACATTCACACAATGGAACACTATGCAGCTGTAAAAAAGAAGGAAATCTTCCCTTTGCGGCAGCGTAGATGGACCTGGAGATTATTATGTTAAGTGAAATGAGCCAGTCAGAGAAAGACAAATACCATGTGATCTCACTTATATATGGACTCTAATGAACAGAATAAACTGATAAACGAAATAGAAACAGAGGCATGAATACATGGAACAGACTGAAAGCTCTTGGGGGGGGGGATGGGATGAAAGAAGGTGAAGGGATTAGCCAAAGAGCATATATGCATAGCCCATAGACACAGAGAACAGTATGGTGACCAGAGGGCAGGTGGGCGGGGGCTGGGTGGAGGTGGGCAAAGGAGGGGAGAATGCGCACATCTGTAATAGTGTCAACAATAAAAATAAAGCAAAAAATAAAGTAAAATAGTGAATATCCATTCTGTTAGGAGCCCTGGTTCTTTTTTGTTCTGCCTGCCTTTGCCCAGATTTGGATATTCTTCTATTCTTGGCTCTACTATTGTGAGTCTTCTAACGGTTGTCCCTGCCTCTAGCCTTGCCCTCCTCCAGTCTAGCACCACACTGCCATCGTGGTATTCTCTGAAACATGAGTCTGATCCTGTCACTCCCCTTATTAGTGTGTTGTTGGCTCTGTTACCCGTAAAGTTTTGTCTTATGGGGTACTGTAAGCTCCCTCATGACTTGATCTGTATCTGCTCATTCCAGCATCACCTCTATTTCCTCACTTGCACTTATGCTAGCGTAGCACTGTCAAGTAGAAACATAATGTGAACCCCATAAATAATTTAACATTTCTATAGCCACATTAAAAATATAAAAAGAAACAAGGTGAACTTAATTTTAATAACGTTTTATTTAACCTGTATGTCCAAAATATTACTTCAACATAGATATAAAATGTCAATATGGAATTCATAGACTTGGAAAGTATAATAGAGGTTACCAGAGGTTCCCGGGTGGGGTGGGAGGTTATTGTTTTTGTTGTTGTTGTTATTTTTTAATTTTATTGATTTCAGAGAGAGGAAGGGAGAGGGAGAGAGAGACAGAAATATCAGTGATGAGAAAGAGTCATTGATCAGCTGCCTCCTGCATGTCCCCTACTGGGGATTGTGCTTGCAACCCAGGCATGTGACTGACTGGGAATTAAATCAGTGACCTCTTGGCTCCTGGGTCAACACTCAACCGCTGAACAACACTAGCCAAACATTGCCTGTCTCTAAAAAGCACCATTTAAAAAAACTTATATTTTTCTAATTATGAATATATACATACTTGCATAGAATTTAAAAATTATTAATAATTATTAATAATAATTATTAATAATAATTATTAATAATCCTACTACCCTTAGGTAACCACTGTTCCGACATACAGTTATACACCATTTAATGGGGGTATGTTCTGAGAAATATGTGGCTAAGCGATGTCACGTGTGAACGTCATAGAGTGCACTTTCACAAACTAAGTGGTATTAGCCTATTACACACCTAGGCTATATGGTAAAGCCTATTACTCCTAGATTACAGACCTGTACAGCATGTTACTGTACAAAACAACAGGAGATTAAATCAAGCACAAGACCAAATGATGGCAATCTGGAGGCACAGTAAACACAACAAGATGTATGAAGCTGCTGCTGGCATAACATGGCACACTGTTTTATAGCAGACTTATTTTTTAATAAGTAGAATACGGTCTAAAATAATAACGTATTGTGTAGTAAATACATAAACCAGTAACAGTTGCTTTTTATCATTAAGTATTATGCACCGTACATGATTGTATGTGCTGTACTTTATGACTGGCAGCGCAGTAGGTTTCCTTACACCAGCAGCACCACAAACGCGAGAGTCATGCTTTGGGAAGGAACCCGCAACCCAGGTACATGCCCTTGAGTGGGAATCGAACCCGAGACTCTTTGGCTTGAGGCCAGCACTCTAACCACTGAGCACACTGTGCAGGGCTAGCTTATTCTGTTTTATTTATTTTATTTTTAAAAAATATATATTGATTTCAGAGAGAGGAAGGGAGAAGGAGAGAGAGAGAAACATCAATGATGAGAGAGTCATTGATCGGCTGCCTCCTACACGCCCTCCACTGGGGATCGAGCCTGCAACCCGGGCATGTGCCCTGACCGGGAATTGAACCACGATCTCCTGGATCCTAGGTCAATGCTCAACCGCTGAGCCACGCCTGACTGGGCAGCTTTTCCTGTTTTAATTAATATGATTTTGTATGACTCAGAACCCCAGGCAACTGGTAAAGGGCAGGAGGGTTTTCTTGGGTGTGAGTGGAGATAGAGATGGAGTAGAGAATGTACAAAAATGAAAAAATTAAAATATCACTGTTTTATGTCAAAATTTGTAACAGTTTTTTAGTTTTGTGGCACATAGACTGTAAATGGAACACTTCTAAGGAGAAACTTGTTTCCACATAGGTTTAAATTCTGTGTGTTACCCTTTGGTTTGCAGATTGCAGGATTAGTGATATGCTTTCCTAAACAGCAGCAAAGCTGAAGATGTCTAGACACTTGGTGGCTTTGACAGTGACCACACTTCTTGGTGTGGCGGTGGGGGCGTTTGTCCTGTGGAAAGGCATCTGGCACCGGAGGAGCAGAACAAGCCGTGGGACCCAGCAGCAGCAGCAGCAGCAAGCTCCAGGCGGCAGAGAGCCGGCCCCTCCAGAAAAGGACCAGCGGCCCTCCAGTGCCCCCAGGGCCTCCTGGGAGGAGAGGATCCTTGAAGCAAAGGTTGTGACTGTGTCCCAGGAGGCCGAGTGGGACCAAGTCGAACCCTTGCTTAGGAGTGGGTTAGAAGATACTCCAGTACTTGGAATCGACTGTGAGTGGGTAAGTTAGAAAGCAAAAATAAAACAAATCTTTTCTGCTTTTCCAACTGGGGACCTTGAATAGTCAGGTAAAGGATGAGCTTAAAGGAGAATTAGCTTGTTCTCAACTTGCTAGTAAGTAGATTTTAGCAGGAGAAGCTACTTCTCTTCTCAGGATAGGGGAGTGCTCATAATCATGGACTCTGCAGTCAGGCAGATCCATGTGAGTTCCAGAATAAACCACACATCATTCTGTGAACTGGAGGAAGTTTGAGTCCCAGTGTACTTGTCTATAATAGGGATGCAAAGGTATGTACCTTCCAGGGCTTTTCTAAGGATTCAGATAGTCTCTATAAAGGCTTTAGCATGGTTTTAACATATAGCAAATGATCATTAAATACTAGCTCCTATTAATATTTTTAATAGTATTTTCATATGGATTCCATGGTGAAGTTCATTAAGGAAGTCTATTAAATGGGAATTATTATACAAGTCAGGATTTAAAAAGATAACAGTAAACTTTGAAACATTGTTTACCCTAAGCCAGGTATTATGCTTTGTTTGATCATCTCATTTAGTTTAATTAGATTCTCCTAATAATTCTATGTAGGGAGATACTATTACTATCCTCACTTTTACAGTTAGGAAATTGAGACATAAAAAGGATTAGTTGTTGTTGTTGTTTGGAAAGAGAGAGAGAAGCATCGATTTGTTGTTCCACTTATTTATGCATTCATTGGTTGATTCTTGCATGTGCCCTAACTGGGGATCAAACCTGCAACCTTGGCATATCTGGACGATGCTCTGACCAACTGAGCTTCCTGGCCAGGACTTGGTTGGGGCACATATTGAAGGCAACCAATAGATATTTCTCCCTCTCTCTCCGCCTTCCTCTCTTTCTAAAATCAATAAAAACATCCTCAGGTGAGGGTTAAAAAAAAAGTTATACTGGCCTCATATGAGTTAGGGATGTTCCTTATTTTTATGTTCTCTGGAAGAGTTTATGTAAGATTATTATTTTCTTTTCCTTAAACATTTGATTAGAATCTACTAGTGAAGCCATCTGGAATTTTAAGGGAAGTTTTTGGATTATGGATACAATTTTTAAAATATTTTCAGGCTATTCATATTTTTAATTTCTTCATATCTCTTATGATAAATTATATTTTTCATCTAAATCTATCTTATCAAAATATTTAATTACGGGCATTAACTTATTTATAATGTCCCCCGACAGTTTTCCCCCTGTCTGATGGATATGTAGAGCTGGCTTCGTTTTCATTCTTGACATTCTTGCTTATTTGTACTTCTCTCTTTTTTCCTAATTACTCTTTCCATGGGTTTACACATTTTATTAGTTTTTTCAAAGAAACAGCCTCTGGCTTTGTTGATCTTCTTTGTTGTGTATGTTCTGTTTCATTGATTTCTGCTCTTTCTCTGTTATTTCTTTTCTTCTAATCTCTTGGGCTTAAGTTGCTGTTAGCTAATTTATTCTTCAGCCCACTTTAATGACATCCTACCATACTACTACACTGAAACTGAGAAAGTTGGTGGCTTTCTTGTTTTCTGATCTAGTGGACACTTATTTGGACTCATATTATTCTAGTTTTCAAAAACATCTGCACAGTTCTTACACAAGACATTTTCTTCTTAGCTTTCATGCCTTCACACACTCCTCTTTCCTATCTTACTCTCCTTTCTTCTTTTTTCTTTTCTGATCCCCCTTCTACCTGACATCTAAATGTTGACATAGCTCAGACTTGGTCTCTTCTCTGTCCACGTCAGGGATTGCAAACTCAGATGCCTACAAGCTCCATACAGGACATGCAAATGAATGATGTAGGTGTTTGTATTTTGAATGCATAGGAATATTTTTAAATTTCAAAGAAATATGCTTTCTCTCTATTTTCCTTTAAAAACAAGGCCTCTATAGTCTGTCTTTCATTTTCCTAGTTTTAGAGAGACATGGATCGTGAGAAATACTTCTTTGTGTTAGAAAAATAATGGTATATAAATATAATGATAAATGGAAATTGACAGTTGGCTTCAGTGTTGAGAAGACATTATGGTGAAGCCGCTATATAATTCAAGCCAAGAGTTGTAAGATTGTTCAGTTCTTTAAAGAGAAATTTGTAATATAGATTTTTTAAAAATGTGAACTCTACTAATTTTAAATTCTGGCACAAGTTTTTAAATATGTGGACACACAAAAAATTAAAAATGTCTGTATCAGTAGGTGGGTCAATGAGCCACTAATTTATGTCCTCTAATCTACATTATTTTTCTAAGTGATCTCATCAAAAATTTTTTTTTTTGGAGAACTAATTAATTCTTTAATTTTTGAAATTAAAGTATGGCCCCGCCAGTGTGGCTCAGCGGTTGAACATCGACCTCTGAACCAGGAGGTCATGGTTTGATTCCCGGTCAGGGCACATGCCCGAGTTTCTGGCTCGATCTCCAGTAGGGGGCGTGCAGGAGGCAGCTGATCAATGACTCTCTCATCATTGATCTTTTTATCTCCCTCTCCCCCTCCCTTCCTCTTTCTGAAACCAATAAAAAAAAATTTAAAAATAAAAATTAAAGAATAGTTGGCATACAATATTAGTTTCATGTGTACAACATAGTGCTCCAGTACTTATATACCTTACAATGTCACCACGCAAAGTTATTATGATGTTGCTGACTATATTCTTTGTACTGTACACTATATCTCTGTGGCTTATTTATTTTATAACTGGAATTTTGTACCTCTTATTCCCCTTTACCTTTTTCATTCATCCTCCCACCCGTCTTGCCTCTGGCAACCATTAGTTTACTCGCTGAATCTGTGAGTCTATTTTTGTTTTGTTTGTTTTTTGTTTAAATTCCACATGAAGTGAAATCATACAGTATTTGTCTTTCTCTGCCTGACTTTATTTCACTTGGCATAATACTGTCTAGGTCCATCCAATGTTGTCACAAATGGCAAGATTTCATTCTTTTTTATTGCTGAGTGTATTCCATTGTGTGTGTATATATGTGTGTCTGTGTGTGTGTATCACACACACGTGCATACACACATATCACATTTTTATTTATTTATTTTTTAATCCTCACCCAAAGTTATGTTTCCATTGATTCTCAGAGAGAGAGGAAGAGAGAGACAGAGAGACAGAGAGAGAGAGGCGAGAAAGAAACATTGATCAGTTGCCCCAATCAGGGATCAAACTCACAACCTAGAGATGTGCCCTGACCTGGAATCAAACCGGCAACCCCTTGGTGCATATGGCAGTGCCCAGCCAACTGAGTCACACTGGCCAGGGCCAGTACTTTATAAAAAAAAAGGAATCCTGAAGCTAATGGATTATCCACTGTTCCTCAGGAAAGAGGATTCTAAACCAATGCTCTCTAAGTGAATCACTGAAATATGAAAAAAGTGTTAGAAACTTTGTCTATAATGATTGATGGCATCATTCATTTAAAATTTTTACTTCTGTGTATATATAATAATGTAATGTCTATAACACATTAGTATAGTACTACGTATATATAATTTATAAATATATATGCATATATGTTGTGTGTGTCCCAAACATTTTTTATGAGTTGACCAATCCAAAAAAAATAAAAATCAGAGACCATCGAATGAAATGCTAATGAAATTAAAATATGTCATGTCTTTTCCCATTAAGAGTTCCATTGTTTTCCACGAGTAGTAAGTGATATCAAGACGAAAAGATGTTAGAAAGCAAAAGGGGTAAATCTATGAGAAATATAGACTAGATATCTTATTAATTAAGTCAAATTGACTGCTAGAGGCATTATTCTTCCAATTATACATTTAGTATATATTGGGAACCTATTGCAATCATTGACATTTGGATTTCTAGTGGGAAAACCTTAATTGTAGTACATTGGATCTTAAGCACAACCCAGAAACAATATTAAAAGGACAATTTATCTATCCATCTATCTAGTTATTTACTTAATGTATTTTAGACAAGGAAACCTGACTGAAAAGATGTTCAGAGATTCAGCGTTAGGAATTTGCAGTATTATGTCAAATTAGCAGGCTAAATATTAGAAGTAGAGATTTATAGCTTTTTCTTGGAGAGAGCTGGTATTACAGAGGGAGGGAGTTACTGAATAAAAAGGGCAATTTCGCCACATCCAGCTGACTTATTATAGAACAGCACCTAGTAGTCAGTTTCTTGTAGGTCTTTTGGACCTTGGATGAGCCCCAAGAAATAGATACGTTAAAGATCAAACTGGCATGCTTTCCTTTGAGGATATGGAAGTAGCCCTCATCGATAAAGCAGTGCCTGAGAAGAGACATCCTAAGACTTTAATGAGTTAAACCATGGTTTTACTTAGCGTTGAAGTTGAGGGCAAAGGCCGTCCTGGATTTTGTTTTTAACAATAATTCTTTGTGATCCTGATTGTTTCTTCTCTGTGATATTGGGAACCTCAACAATGAAGTATCCCTCCTTGATTATTTGTAACACTTTGATTCCCTCCTTTGGTATTTACCATGCAGTTTCTAAGGTGTGCGCTTGTGTGCATGTACTCTACCTTAAAGGCTGTAGTCCTTAAGGCAGGTTCCATCTCTTATATAACTTGATATCCACAGTGGTGCCTGGTGTAAAGCCTTGCACGCTGATACTGTGGTAGCGAGAGAACCACATTGCCTAGAGCAGGGTTCTCCACTGGCTTCATTTAGGCAGATCATTCTTTGTTGTGAGGGGCTATCCTGTACATTGTAGGGTGTTTAGCCGTGTTCTGGCCTCTAACTGGTGGGTGTTAGTGCACTGTCCCTCAGGTAGGACAACCAACAATTTCTCCAGATATTTCCAAAGGTCCTGGGTGGGATGTGTGTGTTCAAAATCAATCTTGGTTGAGAATTACTGCTCTAGAGATAGGGAAGTTTAGGTTCTAGTCCTGACTTTGCCATTCGCTTTCCATGTTTAAGCAAACTCCTTCACCCGTAGGCCTTAAATTTCCTCTCAAATTTCCTCTCTTGGAAAATGAGGATTGGAATTTATTGGGTACTTTATAGGGAACCTTTAAGTAATGTGAATTTTGTATGTATTTCTGGAAATAACTTTCTTAGCTTTTAGCATTTCTCCAACTTATCTATTACCTCAAAAAGATTGAAACTATACACCTGAGTCCTGGCTGGTGCTTCTCAGTGGGTTGGGCGTCGTCCTGTGCACTGAAAGTTGCTGATTCAATTCCTGGTCAGGGCACGTGCCCTGGTTGCATGCTCTGTCCCCAGTAGGGGTGTGCAGGAGGCAGCCCAATTGATGTTACGCTCTCATATTGATGTTTTTCTCTCTCTCCCTCTCCCTTCCTCTCTAAAAATCAATTTAAAAAATCTTAAAAAACAACAACCTACACACCTGAAACTAATACAGAATAATATTGAATGTAAACTGTAATTGAAAAATAAAATTAAAAAACAAAGCAGAACAAAAAGATTAAAACTAGATCAGTTAATATATAAAGTTATTTTCATCTCTTAAGATATAAGGATCCTAGCTTATGCTCAGTATACATTTTTTTTCTTTTATGACCAACATTTGTAACCATAAAATATCGAGAAAGCATTTTGTGCTACCAGGGTTTATTATAATGACAGATACCACTTACTTATACTGGTATTGTATTTCCTGCCTCTTTTGAACAATCAGCTCTTGAGGCAGTGATAAGGTAAAGGAGTCAAGTCAGTAGCACGTACCTTAGAGAGTTTGGGTCATGAAGAGTATATTTATCATCTGGCACTCTGCTCCTTAGCCTTTGTTGTTGTTGTTGTTAGCCTTTTAAAACGAGCATGTTTCACATGGCTCTGCTGTGTGTGTCCCAGTGCCCCCTGTGTGTCAGCTGGTCACTATTTATGGACTGCTCACATTACAGGCTCTGGAGTTGGGGCCTTCAGTAACCTTTGTTTAAGTTGCTGCTTCACAGAGTCCATCGCATTTATTACCATAGGCTGATCCTTAGATTTGAACCAAAATCCAGTCAGCTTCTCCCTTGGGAAAGTTAAGGATATATATCACTTAGACTTTTTTTTTTGCCACAGTTTCATATTGTACTTGGTGCTGCACTAGGGTGTGAACTGTGGCCCCGTTTTTTCCTCTGTTGCAGGTGAACTTGGAAGGGAAAGCCAGTCCTCTGTCACTCCTTCAGATGGCCTCCCCAAGTGGCTTCTGTGTCTTGGTTCGCTTGCCCAAGCTGATCTGTGGAGGAAAAACACTACCAAAAACATTATTGAACATTTTGGCAGATGGCTCTATTTTGAAGGTTGGAGTAGGATGTTCAGAAGATGCCAGCAAGCTTCTGCAGGATTATGGCCTCGTTGTTAAGGGGTGCCTGGACCTCCGATACCTAGCCATGAGGCAGAGGTATGGTTTGTGTGAATGTTGCTGGGATTCCTGTAGCTTGGGGGAAACATTTTAGCAAGATTTATAGACTAATAAGAATCAATAATGAAGCATCTAAAATTCATTACAAGCCTAGAGGCTTCTGAGATGCCTATTGAATTTGTGAAGAAATATTCCAATTTCTGAGAAAACTTTAGTTACCTCTATGCGTCTTTTTAAGTGAAACATTAATAAGGTGTGTCTGTAAGCTACAGATTGTAAACTGATGGCCCCACTGGCTAAATGAGGGCCGCAGATGGTTTTTGTTTTTGTTTTTCCCCATATGGTATTTTTAGGAAATTTTAGTTTAAATGCAGAAGATCTGTATTTCTGGTTTCTCTTGAAAACTTAGATGATTCAACTATATTAGGTCAGTAGTGCTAGATGACAGCAATTGCCTGGGTAGCCCTGTCTTCTTTAGGCAGCAAGCTCTATTGAATTTGCCCAACTCGCCACCTCTCCCATTGTAACCGGGACTCATGCTGAAGCATTCACCCTGCTTTAGGCCAAAATGATTGTAGCTGTAATCTTTTACTGGGAGGAAGAGAGATTTCCCTTTCTCTTGGAATTCTATTTCTATGGAAATTCTATTCTAAATTTAGGGAGTTGCAATTACCTTTTCATGTATATATACAGGTCCTCATTTTAATAATGTGGACTAAAACAGCCTCTCTCTCTGCCTCAGATGACACTGACATTCAAAGTTTGGAGGATTTGCCCAGCCCTTGTGGTTCAGGTGGTTGGGCATTGTCCTGTGCACCAAAAGGTTGCTGGCTCAATGCCTGGTCAGGGCACATGCTTGGGTTGTGGGCTCGATCCCCATTAGTGGGTATGCAGGAGGCAGCGATCAATGTTTTTCTCTCTCTCTCCCTCTCTTTTCCTCTCTCTGAAATCAATAAAGATATATTAAAAAAAACCCACAAACATTAAAAAAATGAAAGTTCGGAGGATTTGATAAACTAAGAGAAGGCCCAATTAAAATCTTTGCTGATCGCTCTAGCCAGTTTGGCTCAGTGGTCTGAGTATCTGCCTAAGGACTGAAGGGTCCCTGGTTTGATTCCAGCCAAGGGCACGTATCTCTGTTGCAGGCTCGATCCCTGGCCTTGGTCAGTGTGTGAGCCGGAGGAGATCAATTGATATGTCTCTCTCACATCGATGTTTCTCTCCTCTCCTCCTTTCCACTCTCTCTGAAAAACAATGGAAAAAATATCCTCAGGTGAGGATTAAAAAGAAGAAAAAAAAATCTATGCTGATCATAATTTTTTAGTATAAAGTGAAATTTTATTTTAGCTTTGCAGTTTGGCTTATGTAAATAAAACTTATAAATAAGTATCAGTTTTTTTCAAGTAGTACATTAAAATATTTACTGTAAAAATGTTGAACTCTGTAAATGTATTTGGAGTATAGCAGCAGAAGCCGCCTTTCCTCGGGCCCTCCTCCCTTTGGCACCGCCTCCCTGGAGGTGCCCACAGTTGCTCTGTTACTAGAGGCGGCGGTGTGTACAGTGGCTAGGAGTTGATTTGGGAGCCAAGCGTGTGGCTGGGAGTCCCAGTGCTGCCACTTACCAGCTGTGTCACCTTTGGCAAGTTACTGAACCTCACCATTCCTCTATTCTCTCATCTGTGAAGTAGAGGTAATAATGCTCCCACCTCAGGGGACTGATGTGAAGATTAAATGAGTTAAACTATATAAAGAACTTAGAAATAGTGTTTGAAATACAGAGAGTGCTGTGTAAATTTTAACGATTACCGTCACCATTAGCACCAGTTTCCATACGATCATCATCTGATTGGTTTGTTTTTCCAGGTCTCTTTCTATGCAATTACAGTTTCTCCCTATGAATATCTGGAAGTTAGTGGTGCTCTAAATTCTTTTTGGCTAAATGCAGAGTGGCCAAGTGTCAGAATAAGAATTTGGTTACAGCTGAATGTTACCATGAACTTTTCTAGAAATAAAAATGAAGCACTTATAGACCTTGCATTTAATGATTTTTTTAAAAATCCTCACCAGAGGATATTTTTTCCGTTGCTTTTCAGAGAGACAGAGAGAGAGAGAGAGAGAGAGAGAGAGAGAGAGAAGAAACATCGGTGTGAGAGACACATCGATTGGTTGCCTCCCGCATGTGTCCCAACCCAGTGCCCAGTACTGAACCTGCAATTGAGGTATGTATCCTTGATCGGAATCGAACCTGGGACCCCTCTGTTTATTGGCCATTTATTTATTTTTGATTTTTGATTTGCCTGTTCTTGTCCTTTGCCCATTTTTGATACATGGTTTTGTTTACTTTTTGTAGAAACAATTTGCTCTGTAATGGGCTTAGCCTGAAATCACTCGCCGAGACTGTTTTGAACTTTCCTCTTGACAAGTCCCTTGTACTTCGTTGCAGCAACTGGGATGCTGAGGATCTTACAGAGGACCAGGTACTTCTTATCAGAGTGCTTGAAGAATGGAAGAGTCATTGCTTGTGAAGTATAATTGTTTTGAAAATCCTAATCCTCAAATATGATATAAGTATTAGGCAGGAATACCTTAAAATAGATGCCTTTGACCAAGATAACTTGTCTATAATAATGCTTAATGAAATTTTAGGAAATGCAGAAAATAATATTTAAATTTGACGTTTAAAAAAAAATGGATTGAAAGCATAGCACATATGGCCAGGGTTTTTGGACTAGTGGGTTTTATTATCAATAATTATAGATTACAGTCAAATGTCAGTACTATAAGTCTTTTCTCTCAGGCTACTCAGTTTCTTCAGAGAGAATCTTCTAGATTTCTGCCCAAGAGGGATAAGGTTCACAGCCTGTATTCTGATAGCTGAATGGGGGAAGGTGCTGCTAGTCTCACCATTTAGGATGTAGACTTTCCCATAATCCCCTCTTTTCCAGGTGACACTTTGCCTCTAGCCTCTGCCATACCTGGTATTACTATGCCCAGATCCTCTGTGATTTAGCCTTCATATGACTTAAACTTGTCAAATTTGTCAAAAACCAAATTCTACACATTGAATAAAACAAAGCAGAAAGATGAATTTTTTTGCAGGCTGGGAAATTCAAGGCCACGGGAGCAATGAGTTCTGAGTTGTGTACAGACTAAAGGGTTTTAATAGGGTAAATGTGAAAGTTATTTGGCCTTTTCAGCTGATTGGTTGTCTCCTTCCTTATTTGGATCTGGGTAGCTGAGACAGGAGCAAGGTAGCCCAAAGATGGTGTGAACAGACCTGGTGTTTGGGGATTGGTGGGCATCCTCCGCTGATTTCTGAGGAGAGCTATAAATTCCTGCAATTTATGTTAGGTGAAGTTTTGTTTTCTTTAATGTGCCTGTTTTCGCCAGCTCCATTTTGTTCCTGACATAAGTAACTCCATTTTAGTTTGGGTTCTACAAACTTTTACTCGTCTGGATTAGAGAAGGCCCTGTGGTGTAAAGAGGTCCGGGGTTTAAGTGTGCTTTATGGAGGCTTTCACATATCCTCCTGTTTTCACCCCACTTGTATACTTGCTTTCACAGATACCTCCTGCCTCCCATTCCTTAGATTTTGCCATTCTTTGTGGCTCAGATTAATTTGATTTTTAATTTTTGGCTTACTACCCTCTATAGGCCTACGTTTCAGCCTTCTCTTGGTGGCCGAGTCAGTTACCACTTGTTGATCTTTCCAAAACGTTGTTATTGGAAAGAGTTAGCAATAGTTAGTATCTTCAGGTTCATTCTGGGAATCGAATTATGTGAATTTGTTTCCTACAGCCATTTTTGATTTGCTGTGACCCTGAGAAAGTTACTACTTTGTGCCTCGGTTTGTTCATTCGTTCCTTCTTTACTTCCTTCCTCTTAATAGTTTTACTGAATCACTTCTCGGCCTTTTGGCTAAGATCAAATGTTAATAGTTTTACTGAAATATAATTCACATACAATAAAATTCACCCACTTAAAGTGTACAAGCCAATGGATTTTCATATATTTACAAAGTTATTCAACCATCATCAAAGTCTAGTTTTAGAACATTTTCATCACCCCAAAAAGAAACCTTTTCCATACCCATTGGCAGTCCCTTCCCATCCCCCACCCAACATCTAGGTTTGGTCGGGGTTGTTTGAAGCACAAAAGGTTTTATTTTTTATGGGGTCCAGTTATCTATTTTTTTTTATTTGTTCATGCTTTTGGTATCATATCTAAGAAATCATTGCCTAACCCAAGATCATGGACATTTACTCCTCTGTTTCCTTCTAAGAGTCTTATGCTTTAGCTCTTACACTTAGGTTTATGATCCATTTTGAGTTAATTTTTGTATGTGATGTGAGGTAGGGAGGTCCAACTTCATTCTTTTGCATGTGGACGTCCAGTTGTGGCACCATTTGTTGCAAGTGCCTTGCTTTTTTTATCATTGGAAAATAATTTGTTAAAAAGCACTCTGAACTTTTCACATCCAAGCACACTCTTTTCTTATGGGAGACAACTTGCTGGTAGATATGTAGATTGTTTAGGTCTAGGTGGAAAATTATATCCAAACTTATTTTATTCTAAAAGCGTTAAAAAAAATTCTTACTTAATAGTTCCATTCACCAGGCTTGGCTATTTTTTCCCCCCATCACCATTTATCCCCCCTGCACCCCCTCCCACC